CTTCTTGAAAAGATCACGGACTCGAGAGGCACCAACACCAACAAACATCTCCACAAACTCTGAACCTAAGATGGAGAAAAATGGGACACCTGCTTCACCAGCAATTACGTTGGCGAGAAGGGTCTTCCCAGTTCCTGGAGGACCAACAAGAAGCACTCCTTTAGGTATACGAGCCCCAACTGCAGTGAACCTCTCAGGCTTCTTCAGAAACTCCACCACCTCCATGAAATCTTGTTTTGCTTCATCTACACCAGCAACATCATCAAATGTCACTCCAGTATTAGGTTCCATCTGAAACTTGGCTTTTGACTGACCAAAGGCAAGAGGAAATCCAGGTCCACCAGGACCTCCTATTCCTCCAGATGACCGCCTTGAGAGAAGGAACAGACCCCCAATTAAGATTGGTGGGAAGGCCAAATTTCCAATTAAGTTGAACAATAGAGAACCTGAGTCCTCTTGAGCATTGTGCGCAGCAAAGTCAATGTTCTTCTCCCTGAACTTCTGAAGGAGCTCCTGGCTGAGTCCAGGGAGTTGGACCCGAACTCGTTGCACCCGATTTCCCAATTCTAGAGAAACAGCCTCAACAATAGCTATGGTTCCATTCTCAAATAAATCTACCTTTTTCACTCTGTCCTTGTCCAAGTACTCCAAGAACCTAGAATAAGACATCCTGGAGGAAGAAACCCCTTGGTCATCAGCATATGCATTCCCACCACCAAGTAAGGCAGGTACACTAAGTCCCGCATTTCCAAGTAACAACTTCAAAAAGCCTCTTCTTCCTTCATGGTGCCTTTGGTCCAGAGATGCTGTTACATAATTTCTTTTTAATAACTTGCCCAATGACAGAAGGCTAGAGGAAGGAAAAAGGCGCCTGCCATAGATCTCTTTGCCCAAACTTGGTTTAGTACTGTGGGTAGATAAACCACTTCCCACTAGGCATGTTGATGATGCTGCCATCTACAGTATTATCACCTGGAACAAGGTGCTGGAAAGTGGACATGACAAATTAAGTGAAAGTGAATTAAAAATATACACATATGTATAAAGAACTTCATTTAAAATTATTTCCGACAAAAACTACTGCTATCCACTACAAATTTTTTGCATTCAATGATTGTGTAGAATAAATAACGAATAGAAATCATTTATAAAATGCAAAGTTTGAAGAGATAGGCAGAGTTACAGAGTAAATGAGTAGATATTTACACAGCTTATAATATCCAAACCAATTGTTTTGTTTTGTTTTGTTTTTTTAATTTTTTATTTCCATTGTCTCTCTCTTATTCTTCCTGTGGTGTGATGTCTGAAATATTCTTGTGCTATTATCATACAAAAGCAGGTCCGAAAAATAAAATATCTTTAATAGTGATAGCATTAAATGATATTTTAGATAGGTTGCGAAATAGCACGATGTTAAGTACCAACCCCCTCTAACATTATGGCGCTAGTTCAAATCACAGAAATCATCCTCACCATAAAAAAGTGGGTTAAGGCTACCTACTTACTCACTCCCCCGGACCATGTTGTAAATGGGAGCGAACTGAATGTCTTTTTACATCAAATGATATTTTAGGCAAACACCATTGTGACATTAAATATGGAACTAAATTGAAAGTTTATTTCTACCAATATTTTATATCTCTATTTTATTAATCAAGCGAGATTTCAAAATTTTAAAGGAGATGACTGTAAAAAGACCTTGAGATAAGGTCTTGCAAGCAGACAATATCCCTGGATAATTCAAACATATTAACAATCTCAACAGTAATGGAATTTCATCCTCAATTGTTTTTTAAGTATAGAGAGTTGGCATCATCAGAAAAGTCTCACAGTGCAATAAATAAAGGAAGTTTAATCCAAAAGGACTGCGAATCTCATTGCATCTTACAGCAACAGAAAACCATTCCGATAACTTGAATAATAATCCAATCCTCTAATCATATTTGACCTCCAATCATGTTTGACCACCGACTGAAGAGGAATGTCTGGGAACTGAGGAAAATTACATTTCATAAAGGAATGAAAAATGTATCTTGTGGTTTGTAATTATTCATTTGTAGCTTCGTAGTAGAAGCTTGACATGTATTATTACATTGTTGTTTTCAATGAAAGAGAGAACATGTATTATTATGTTTCTATCACCCAAGGGTAATAGATATAAAAATTAAAAAAAATGGGCCTAAATTACAGGCTTTGGTAATGTTTCCGATTAGTTAAAATGTTGGGGCGTGACAAAAAATTACTAATAAGTTAAAAAATATTGACAATTTTTTAGATGCCTAGAATAGTGAAAATGGATGAACAATTTGAAACGAATAAACTAATCAACTAGAATCGAAACACTAGTTTAGTTTTATCAATTGCATAATTTTGCAGAGAAATGTATATAATTTGCATGGTAACTTAGTAAATTAGGACATTTTGAGTTTTGATTTTTGTTGATTGTCATTACTTAAATGATATACTTATGACTAAGTGATTTGCAAGTATTTAAATTTAATTGATAAGAGTGGATCAACACATTGAGCTTAGTGATGGATCCACATATTAAAATATAAAAAAATATATATTTGATTTGGAGTATTATGTGTCCCGTCATTAGGTGTGATGTCTACATTTGTGTCTTCTTTTAATTGTTTATCATCTCTCATCTTACTCTTTGACATTTTAATTAGTTTTTCTCTTCTCCTAGGTACTTGAGGTCTGATGGACTTGCAGATCCTTGTCGACTCAACAACTATGTGATATTATCCCATGCTTTAATTACTCCCCCCCTCTCTTCTTTAATGTTTTTAGTTTGTCTCAAGCATGCATGCAACTGATGTAGAGTATAAGAAACTCAAGGAAGAGTAAATTTAAAGAAGTGGCAATATTTAGAAATTGACATGCTTTAAAAGAAAAATTGATAGGAGCCATTTATAATTATGTTTCTGGTATTATTAGAGTCTTATTTTATGATTATTTTATATTGTTTTGAATTTTTAAATCAAGGGTATTTTAGTAATTTTATACTTACTGACATGAGTTGTAGGGTCGCCCATAAGTTGTCTTGTAGGTCAATTTATTTAATTAGATTTTATTTATATTTCTTATTTGGTCTTAAATTGATTTTGGAAGTCAAAGATATTGTAGTAGTTTTCTTTTTTCTTTTTTTTTTGTTTAGTTGGTTTAGAAAGTCTCCTAATTCTATATAAAGCCATGCAATGCTTGTAATTTAGGATTTATTACACTCTATACCCCTCAACTATCGCTAATTTGTCTACTTAGTTTATAAACTATCAATTAAGTCTATTAAGTTCCTAAAGCATATAGATTATTTAGTCCCTAAATTATCAATTGAATCTAGTAAGTCTCTAAATTATTTAAATCAAACCTATTTAGTCCCTGAAAATGTAACAAAAATAAAATATAAGCTCATAAACATTATAAATTAGTAAAAGACCCTACCTAGTTAAAATTTTATTTCAAAAAGCCTTCAATTTTTATTCCGTCTTTAAAAAGTAGGCATTAGCTCTTATGATGAATTTCCTTTATAAGGGTAAAGGTAATTATCTATAGTATTTTGTTAGTTATATTCTAAAATAGCCATGTGTGCTTACCTTTATCTGGTATTATATGTCAGAACTAATTTCTAATTGATTATTTTTAAGTTTTTCGCTAAGTTATTTTATATAAGTTAATTAATATATTATTTTTCCTATTATTATTTGTAACAAAATGTTATTATTTAAACTATCTAATTCTACTTTTTCAGTATATCTAATACTCATATAATTTTATAGGCAATACTGAGAAATTAGACTATAATACTAATTTAAACACACAACTAAATAAAATACTTTTTAAAGAGAAAATAAAAAAAAATGTAATTTTTTAAAGAAAATTTTGATTATTAGGGTTTTTTACTAATTTATAATACTTACGGGCATATATTTTTAATTTTATAATTCTTTCAAGGACTAAATAGATTTGAATTAAATATTTTAGGAACTTAATAAATTTACAGATTTTGTAGATTCAATCAATAGTTCAGCGACTAGATAGACAATTTGACTATAGTTTAGGGATAGAAAGTGTAATAAACCCTATAATTAGAGTTAATATTTTAGAGAATTTTAAAAGCTTTTGAAGCTTCTTTATGGATCGTGTGATGCAATCAAACCCTGGGTGTGATGCCTAAAGATTCTAAGAGTAATTTCTAGATCTATCTTTTTCATTTTTTTTCCCTTCTAATTTACTATTTTCATATTACTATTCACAGCCCTCTAAAAGTGAGATTTTCAACCTCAAAACCCCATGAAATCACCCCCCAAATCAACCCTAATCCCTTTCTCTACCTATTAACCATCAATTTAACCCTTAAAATCCTAAATTGCTCATTCTTTAGGCCATCAAATAACCTATGTTTTCAAAATACAGCGTTGTCCCTACTCATCCAACATTAGCAACTTTTCTCATATTAATGTAATTTAAGAAGGGTATGACTTGTAATGGCTATCTTGTTTTATACTCTAAAATAGGTTCATATGACTTGCAATGGTCCAAACAGGTTGTAGCTGTAGAACTTAATCTTTGTTGGGTTGATCCTGGTCAATACTGAATTTTTACGATTAGATATAAAAGTGGACTTTTGGGTTAACAATCCTCCCAAACTGTATATCCTCCATTTGAGGGACTACTGAGTCCCTAAAGGACAGTGGGATATGAAAACGGGGGATTGACGGGGGTCTAGATTTAGTGGTTAAAATATCAAATATCCTTAAACTATAGTCATTACACCATGCAATCCATGCCTAGTGATTTCAAATAAGCATGGGATATGATATGATTCTATTAATCGCTTCTTAATCCAGGAGCATTCCAGACATGGGATAGAACATATAATCCTAAATGATTGGTAATCAAAGAACATTTAATCATGGACTAATAGTCCCATGTAACCTAGTCCAACTTGTCAGTTCCTCTCATTGTGGTCAGAACATGGCTTTCGTCTCTGTTTATCAACTTGGATAACCCAAAATCAGAGATTTTGGCACTAAATCTTCATCCAAGAGAATGTTTTGTGGCTTTATATGGAGGTGAATTATTCTCTGTCGGCATTCTTCATGCAGGTAAGCCAGCCTTTTGGCTATGTGAAGTATAATCTTCTTCCGACCTTTGCCAATTGAGCCATTAGTCACATACTCGTATACTAGAAGCCTGCAAGATTTTTCTGCACAAAACGCAATCAACCTCACAAGATTAACATGGTGTACATGTCCAAGTGTCTCCACTTCAGCAAAGAATTCCTTCATCCCTTGGCCCAATTTATCCAAACGCTTCGCTGCAATCTGAGTGCCATCTTCCAACATCCCTTTGAACACAGTTCCAAATGCTCCACCACCCAATCTCTCCTTAAAATCTTCTGTTGCAACACATAGCTATTCATATGAAAACCTCACTAGACTTCCCGGAACTCGCTTCATACAGTCCTCGTCCTCTGAGCAGCTTGGGCACAACATCACAAAGCATGTAACAATTATAACAACAAAAATTAAAAGGGCACCAGCACACGACCTTCCTATTATTGCTTTTAAATTTCTTTGTGAAGCAGGTGGAGAAGTGTCAGGCACAGTGTCTTCTACTTGTCCGTTTGCTGGCTTGTAAGGAATTTGGACCTTGACAAATGTTGTGCGAAGCTGTGGTTTGGGATTAGCCCTTCTCTAATTGTCAATACCGTGGATGGGATATAACAATACCCATCAGAAGCATTATTGTTGTACCTGAAAAAGACTGCACCACAGGAACAATTTAGCAGACAGATCTCTCTGCATCTGTCTATGTCACTGATATTTGGAAATGCAGCATCTTCGTCGATGAGGTTGAAGTAGCTTACATTTCTAACTTCAACAAGATAGTGCCTCTGGTCAAAGGGACGTGGGCAAGACAAAGAAGTAATCCTAGAGCAACCCATATAGAGTATTTGAAGCCGAGTCTGTTGCAGATGTTTTCCATTTTGGCTGTGTGCCCAAAATATCGAACCCAATCAATGCCTATGGGACAACCACACTGGCTTTTTCTGCATAAGCCATATTCACCAGAGTGTGAGAATGTTGACATTCACCTAAATCATGGGTAATCATATCAACAATCTCCCTCAACCCAACCCAATCAATGCCTATGGGACAACTACACTGGCTTTTTCTGCATAAGCCATATTCACCACAGTGTGAGGATGTTGACATTCACCTAAATCACGGGTAATCATATCAACAATCTCCCTCAACCCATCGGTATTACTGTGACGAAATATCTTCAAATGCCCATCACTACCTAATTTTATATATGCAGTGCTAACAGTGGAGGGAAAATTGATGGGAATTATTTTAAACATTGATTGAGACGTACCAAAATTCACAAGGAAACTTCCTTGTTGAAGCTCCGCATACCTCCTATGTATGTAACAAAACTGGTAGCCAATTTCAATGCGGCAAAGCACAAACCACAAGCCCATAAGTTTGAGGAACTTGGAATGAGTTTTTGATCCTCGTATAACTGCTGCCCAACAAGCAATGTGTTTGTAGGGTAATCAAAATACTGCCAAACAATTGCTCCTTTGTTGTTGAATAAAACCAAATTTTCCCATTCTGTTGTGTCCATTCCCACCACAGACTTGCCTAATGTGTTGGTTGACCACACGTGGTCTCCATCCGAATTTTGCAGTTCTAATTCTCCATCTACTGTAAGCTGTAGCGCCGCGCCTTCTTTCACAGGATGGCCTACATTTGTTGACCAAACTGCACTGTGATTGCCTCCACCAACAATGGCAACTGAGAACAAGTAATAGGTGCAACTGTCGAAGCAATAGAATCCACAAACAAACTCAACACTTCCCCTTCTTGAGAAGATTGCTCTCACGGTTGTTGAGCTGTCTTCACTGACAAGACTCCTACCATTAGAATCATTGTTGTTCCCAATTGAGGGAAAACTTGAATTGAAGTAGAACATGGGACCAAATGATGGGGTAAGGAAGAAGATCCAGCCGCCTCAACAGAAGTTTGGGCAACATTTTGAGGTAAACACACACTGAAAACAAATGAGCAGAACAAAAATATGATTAATCCAGCCATGATCTCTGATGAATTACTTTCTCGCTCTTTGGTTGCTAGCTTTATAAAGAGTTACCAGAGTAAACTTGGGGGTGGGAAAGCACAAGTCATCACAAGTCAAGTCTTATAAAGGAGGTGGAGCAATTTTCTACAGGTTCTGTGGGTAGAGATTGACCAATGAGCCCATGTGAATGTCAATGTATATCATAACCTCCAGGTAAATGAGCATGCCTGTAGACAGAGAGGTACATATGTATACATGTGCATAATTGTACGGGGAGCAAATATTTCGGCAAGCCCGTACTCCTTTCTTCCGAGCTCCGTTTATGTCCGATCACCTGCGCGCAAAGAATGGTGAGCTACCCGGCGGTGTGTTGCCGGAGAAACCCTCCGACGATCAAGTTAGAACACACCTTAGGATAGAGAGAGAGAGAGGGTGAGGTGTTTGGGTGTAAGAAATTCCTTACAAAGTGTTCATCTGTCGCGTATGGGGGGCGCAGACATGCTTATATACCCTCTGCGCCCCATATCCACTCCCAGTCATCTCCTGACACGTGGCTCCGCTATCCCATCTGTCAGCATAAACCTTGCCAATCATCACCTAATCTCAACTGCCTGCCTACTCAGCAGGAGCTCGGTAGCCGAGCTGCACTATCCACGGCCGTGCTATGCTTCATACCCAAGCACCTCACTGGATAAACCCAAGGAGGACCAGGCTAGGCGGCATCTCGGCAAAGCCTAGCCCGGGCACCTCTTGTGGTCGGCCTTCCTGCCGAGCAAACGGTTTCCTCGGTTGACCACGCCTTTCCGGGCGCCGGTCACTCAGCTTGTCTGGCTTCAGCCATCCCTTGATCAAGCAGCTCGGTCCAACCGAGCACTGCCTTGCTGAGCTTCTTTTCGGTCCGGGGCGGCTCACACTTGGCCCAATTCCTACCCGGGCCAAGTTCTGGTAGTCCATCTCTGGGCGGATAGTCGATCATCTCGGCCCCATGCACGGTTGGGCTCTCTTCCTGCTCGGCCGTTGCCTCGACCCAATTCCAGATCATAAATCACCCTCTCAATTGCCCTTTAATTCCGTCCGTGAAAGCGTAACTGGGATTACTCACTTCGACCGAGATAACATTTCTCCGGTCTTCAAGATGCCAAAGGGCGACCGGGCTAGTTAACATAACTGTCTACAAACTTGCCCTGTTATACTCCTCGGCTGACATCCTTTTCTTCAAAAGTAGCTCGGTTGGCTCTTCGACTCTTCAACCCGTCGCTTCAGTCCTGACGTCGCCATAAATGTGGACACGTGGCGGGCTGCCATTGGTCATCGAGCAGCCAACCCGCCGTTTTTGCCAGAATTTTGAATTTGGGCGGTCTCTCTCTTGTTTATACATACAGGGCCTCCCAAACTCCATCTCCTCCTACTGCCATTCTGTTATACGACTCTAGAGCTCAAACATCCTTACCTTGGCCTCGTCTTCCATTATTCGTGTTCGAGGAAATAGATCCTGCCCTTCACTGGTGAGTCCTTCTACCCCTATTTTGTTGCTATTTTCTTTCATATTACACACATTAGGGCATAAAAACGTAGCTCTTAGGGCATAGGCCATAGAAACCGTCCCAAACCTCCCACTGTTCTTGGTGTTCTTCATCTTCCTGAAGAACACTGAAGAACTGGGGCGGACCGGGCTCCTGGTCTTCTTTTAATCCAAAAAACCAATCTAACCGAGCAAATAACATGTTTGCCTCAACCCCAGCAAAAACCGAGATAACAAAAGGAAATGGTCGCTCAACCGGGCTAATATGTGGCCTGCCTGGGCGACCGAGCTCTTTAGTTAGCTTAGGAGACCGAGGTGGTTTGGCACCCTCAACGACCAAGCTAAAGACTAGCTCCTTCCGCGCGACCGCGCTCACACTTACACTTGCCCTCCTTTTCCTGCAGAGTCCAAGGGGACCACTGTCCATTCCTCAGGTTCTCAAGACCGAGCAATTAACAATTGCCATTGTGCCAAACACCTCAGCCGAGCTACCTCAGTCCGGCCACAAATGGGGAAATTCTGCTTCCTAGTGGATACTCCGGCCACGCTAGCTGCATTCAGAGAGGAGTACGGCATCCCGGCCGACGTCCATCTCGAACTGGATGAAAAGGAGACAACACCCTGGGGCAGACTAGACCAATGCCCCTTCACCGTGCTCTCAATTGTCGAAGGGGGTCTTCGTTTCCCGCTCAACCCACTTATCACCGAGTTCTTCCGCCGCACCGGGCTGGCACCCACACAAGTGTCCACCAATACTTATAGAATAATCAACGGCGTTCATGAATTGAACAATCGGCTAGGCACCAACTTAGGTCTAGCTGAGATATTGAGGCAATACACAATGGGCCACACTGGGGACGGCCTAGCTTATTACTTGAAGATAAGACCGGGCAAGGAAAAAATTGTAACTGGCACCCCAGATAAAGATCTGCACGACGACGATTTTTTCTGGGTGTTGGGCAATTACGAAACAGCCGAGGTGCCGGGCTGGTTTATAAACAAGGACTTCGGTTCTTCATGTAAGCCGCTCAAACTTGCTCGGTTAGCCTAACTTTTTACTCTGTAACTAACCGATTTTCCTGTTTCTTTTGCAGCAATCCAAGCCTTGCAAGCCAACTATCAATTTCCCAACGTTGAAGCAATTCGTACCGTGCTTCGGTATTCCCACCGAGATTGCAACGATTTACTCGGCTACACCCCGACCTATAGGTATTCTGCTCCACGCCGGAGTGGAGTAACTGACTTCCTCCGCGCTCCTTCGCCACCTCCAGACCCTACCCTTCCTAACGTCCCCTTAATCCGGTTAACAGACGAGCAAGAAATGGCCAAGAGAAGTCGAATCAAAAACCTTCTTACTACAACCTCGGCCGAGATCCCGAGCGTTGTTGCCCGCTCCTCGTCTAGTGGTCAATCAAGTGCCGCCGTGGTCCCCCTAGCTTCTCCAGCCGCCGGCCAGTCTAACAGAGAAACACGCCGGGCTGGAAAAAGACCACGGGCAGATCCCTCTGCCGAGCTCGTCACCGAGCTGACAACCGAACATCCGTCTGAAACCCCTGTCCAAGTGCCAGCCTGGCGTCCACAGTTGAAGCACTGGGGACAAGACATCCCGGCCACTGCGTCGATCAAGGGTGACAAAGAGCATTTGCTCGCCTTCAATCTCTCCAAAGCTCTTCTACTACCGAGCGACATGGTCGGTAGCGACCACGTCCCTGACACTCGGTTGATCAAATCATCAGTGAAGTCTATGGCTAGGGTAAGTCAATGTTCCTCTGAAAATTTCACAAGTGTTTGCCCGGTCCTTTTCTAATCAACTTTGTTTTTTGCAGGCCATTCAAAAACAACACCTGGTCTTGGAGCGCATCCATAGACTTCGGCAAAAGGCCAATGACACAGCCAGCCAGGTCGAGAGCCTTCAAGCCGAGTTCGGCCGGGCTAAGTCTTCCCTTGAGATGGCCAACGCCGATAATAACAGACTGCTCGGTCAGCTGGATGCGGCCGAGAAGAAATGGGATGAGCTCCAGACCGAGGTAGACACGCTCAAAAAGTCGAAGAGGAAAGCATGCCGGGCTGCCAACAATGCCGGTTTTAACGAAGCCAAGCAGAGCTACAAGAAGCAAGTCTTTGCAACACAAGACATCTACTTCAAGGCTGGCTGGAAGTCCGCCTGCGAACACCTCGGCCAGGGCTCTGGTACCGACATATTTGCCAACCCTCCTCCAGCTTCGCTACCGGTCTACCTCGTGCCATATGCAAACGACGTCTTCAGCGCTTTGCAAGCTGAGGTCGCGGAAGGGCTTGAAGAGGGAGACGGTGAGACAGAATCTGAGGCAGAAGAGGCCGAGGTGCAAGAGCAGCCCGGCAATGACGAGCCCGGTGCCCAAGACATAAATCCAACCATCAACCTTGATGCCGGCGAGGACGAGTTTACCAATCTCTCCCCTTTAGTTTAGTTTTCTTTTCTTTTTTGTATTTTTGCTTTCAACGCTTCTGATGTAACCGGGCTCTGTCCCCACCTTTTGTAATGATTTTCTTATCAATGAAAAAACTCAAATTTCGCTAAGTGTTTGCACAGTTGTTTGTTAATTCTGTCTTTGGCATACCATCTCGGTATTAAATCATAGATTGAACTACACTTCGTCAACCGAAATTCGTAACTCGGTTGAAATACTTAGAACAAAAGGAATACTTAAACCGAAATAACCATCTCGGTTGGTAATAACAAAGTTGAACAAATCACCAACTCTTCCAACCGGAGTAAACCATCTCGGTTGGGAACCCGCAGCTGGACAAAACACCAACTCTTCCAACCGGAGTAAACCATCTCGGTTGGGAATCCGAAGTTGGACAAAACACCAACTCTTCCAACCGGAGTAAACCAGCTCGGTTGGGAATCCGCAGTTGGACAAAACACCAACTCTTCCAACCAGAGTAAACCATCTCGGTTGGGAATCCGCAGTTGGACAAAACACCAACTCTTCCAACCGGAGTAAACCATCTCGGTTGGGAATCCGCAGTTGGACAAAAC